ATTTGTTTTAATTAAACAATTATATTAATTTTCTTCCAACAAATAATTTTTCCATTAAGTAAATAATTAATAAAATTCAATAAATATTTTCCAGTTTATAAGAAATGTTTATTAAAACAAAAGTAATAATTGTTGTAATAAAATAATTTCGAAATAGTAGTAGTTTATAGGAAGAAAATGCTACTTTGTCTTAAGCGAACCATATGTTGAATATAAAAAAAGTTTTGTAGAATGAAAGTTATAATATTAAAAAATAGTTTATTTGAAGGCAAGAAATTAGTTTTCTTTGAACCAAATCACTATTAAATTGCAGGCAATATTTTCTGCAATGTAGTAAATATTAATTTAAATTATAGCTTTATATGTTTCCTAAAAGTAAAAATTTATTGGAATATATAGTTTCATAATAAATGAGCATATGATTTCTACAATAAATAAATGTGTCTTAACCTTTAAAAAATATTTCCTGCAACGTAGTAAATATTTATTACATTACTGTTTCATTTTGTACAAGAGAGTAAATATTTACTTGGATAAAAATGCAGTTTCTTTTTATAAAAAAAAACAAATGTTTTTGTAAAATCAAATTTCACATTTGATTCAAAGAAACGTTTTTAGTTCCAAAAAAATATTTATTTAAAGAAAAAATGCAACATACTACTAAAAAGAAATATTTTTTAATATCAAAGAAATATTTTTTAATATCAAAAAATACTTTTTAACTAATCTTTTTTAATTAAAGTTCCTTTTTATATTATATTTTTTTGTCTTTTCCTGAAATTTTTTTTTAAATTTAACACACTATTATTTCACATGCTATTTAATTCAATTTAAATTGTACTTTGAAAATTTGCTTACTGAGATTCGAACCTGAAACCTCTAAGCTCTTGAGTCGTTCACTTTACCTATTGTACCACTGTTACTTTTACTAACAAATTCTTTTTATTGTATACCCATATGGTATATACCATGTACGAAAAAAAAACAAATGATTTATTAAAAAGAAGAGAATAGTAAATGTAAAATGTAAAATGTATGTTTGAAAAGAGTATGTGAAAAGTATATTTGAAAAATATTTACTTGCTTTAAAAGTAAGTAAAATATAAATAAATTATTTTGTAAATTTAAATAAATTATTTTCTGATAGTAAAAGAAACTTAATTTAAAATACAAAAAAAATACAAAAAAAATTTTTAATAAGGTAAAACGGGATAAATTGAATAGCGGGGGAATTTGAATAATATTAAGCATTTGCGACAATTTTAGAAAAATATGAGACACCTTGTTTTATGTTTGAAGTTAGCACGCTATATATTCATATTTTTATGCTATATATCATATTTCTGAAATTGTCGCAAACGCTTAATATTATTCAAATTCCACCGCTATTCAATTTACTCCGCTATACCTTAATAGAAAATAATTCATTTAGATTTATAAAATGATTTATTTGTATTTCATTTACTTTTAAAACAAGTTTAAATATTTATTTAAACACATAGCTTTTAAATTAAAAAAAAATTAATTTTCTTCTTGGAAGGAAATCATTTGTTTATTTTCATATATAAATATTTTAAATTAAAGGAATTACTTTTTTTATCTAGAAATTCATAATTTTACAGCTCATTTTACAAATTTAAAAAAATATTACTTTATATTTATTACATGTTTTCTAAACTCAAACAAATACTTCTTTAAGTTAAGAAATTATATTTAACAAATTATATTTCTTTAATTTAAAGAATTTTTTTAATATTGACATATCAAACATATTATTTTACTAATTTTTCAATTAAACTGTAAAGATGTTACATTTCACTATTACAATAAAAAAAATCATGTTACACGAGTTGCAGCATGAGTTGTGCAGAGTTGTGCAGTAGTCCACAATTTACGTGTAACATATATTATAATATCTCAATAATAGTAAGCAAATTTTCGAAGTACAATTTAAATTGAATTAAATACATTTTTTTTCAGTGTGTGATCACTATTTACAACGCAAGTGTCGATAGTGACATAGTGATTTCTTAAGAGTTAAGAATAATTTATTTAATAACAAAAACATTTGCTTTTTTATAAAAAACTAATTTTTCTTCTTTTTAGTAAATTCTTTTCTCAGTATATTTATATCTGTATCTCAGATTTGACTGATAATCATTAATAATATTAGACTAATATTTATTAATAATACGAAAGATATGAAGCATAGCTTTTCACATATCTTTGTTAATTTATTTAAATTAAAAAATTATTAAAATTATTAAAATTATTTGTAAGAAAGAAATATTTTTCAAAATTTGGAAAACACCTATTTACTCACAAATAACGTAATCGTTTTCGTCGAATATAGACATTGAAAAAAATTTTTTTTAATTTAATGTATTTAAATAAAATGTATTAAATATATTATTAAATGTATTTAAATGTATTTAAATAAAATGAAATTAGTTTTATTTACTTAAATAATACTTTAAATATAAAATCTTGTTTATTTTTAGTAAATTAAAGCATTAAAATTGCAAAATGATTTCTTGGTGAAAAAGATTTGCTTCAATAAAACTTACATTTCTTATATTGCAACATAAGATGTGCTAAAATGTAATAAATAAATTGTTTGAATGAATCTGAATTTCTTAACTGTAAAAAAGGAAATTTTAGCAAACACTTGTCTAAATTAGAGCTTTTAAAATTTTAAAGATAATAAATGGTTTAAAATAAAATATATATTTTTTTAGAGTTTATTGTATTTTAAAAAACGTATATTTGTATAAAATTTATATATTACCTTCATTTAAATAAATATTTCCTTAAATATAATAAATAACACTTAAAAAATAATATTTTTTAACTTTCCATTTATAAAACTCTGAAAAGTTAAATCGAAACAAATATTTACTAATACATTATTTTTAGATTTAAGAAATTCGTATTCAGAATTCATTTCCTACATTTTAACAAACTTGCATTGCATTTTAGAAAACCTGTGTGCAATTCAAGTAAACAATTCAACATAATGTCGCTTGCTAATTTTAATACTTCCATTTTCTTTAATTAAACAAAAAGATTTTACATTCAAAGTATTATTTTCTTAAATGAAGCTAATCAAATTTAAGCAAATATATTTATTACAATTAAAAAATTTTTTTCTCAGTGCAAGAATTACTTCCGACTGATTATCGGAAGCGAGTCGAATTTAACTGATATGTGAATAGAGTAGAAAGGGACAATCATTTCTCATCAAGGATATTATGGACAGACGAAGCGACGAGTATATTCAATTCTCATAATAGTTATGTATGGATCCATAATAATCTATATGCTACCAGACAAAGAAACTTTCAACACGAATTTCGGTGTAATCAAACGACTTACCAATTTTGATGGAAAATGTGCTACTGCTGTTTCATCAAAACAGCTGGATATAATTAGACGGTTGTCTATCACACTATACTAGACAAGTTAGAAACTGGTTGGATAAAAATTACACTCAAGTGGATCGAGGGGGACTGGTCTTCTGGCCGCCAGATTTAACGCCTCCTGATTTTTACTTAAAGGGAACTTTAAAAACTAAGGTTTACGGTACAAAAATGATTTCTCATGAAGATTGAATGCAACGAATATTAATAATTCAATTACTGAGATGCAACAAAATTATCAGAAAATTTGTACTGTAATAAATTCTATATTACATCGACGTCAAGCTTGTATTGTCGCGCAAAGACAATATTTTGAAACTAAATCGTTTTGACACTAAAAATTTTGATATTGAATCGTTTCATTAAAATTCTGTGCAATGGAAAATCCTTTGTCGTCTATTTCATGTTCCGTGTCAATATTTGTTTATAATTTTGTAATAAAGCATTTCTAGCTAAATTTCATATAATATTTTGTTTCTTATTTCCATTTGTAGAATATGCTTTCACAGTTTGTCGATTAAACTCCAGAACATCCTGTATATTTATATATGTATAGGCATCACATGTATAGGCATGTGACTTATAAAGCAGATTTTTATGCATAGTTGAATTTTCAAAAACAATACACCGAAATATAAAGTTAATTAATGATGCTTTCGTAGCGGGTACTTCGCAAGCAAAACGAAAATATCACTTCGAATGAGAATACTGTCTCTTCAAATTCCAAGAACAAATGTTTCAGTTTAGCTTAGAGTGAATTCTGACTCCATATGAGCGAATGTTTCAATCGATTAAAAATATGACGATGGAGTCATATTTTGGAGACATTAGATTCACTTTTTAATTTCGAGTATATATTCAACATTAATTTCGAAAATATACATTCAACAATTAGAATAGAGTGAAGAATTCATTTTATATGAGCGAAAAATCGAGTGATATCGATGCTTACTCAACTTTTATATTTAGTAAAATCTTACTCCAAGAAATTTGGAACGTTTCGTGCGTATATGTGTATGTGCGTGCGCGCGCGTGTATGTATGTATGTATGTATGTATGTATGTATGTATGTATGTATGTATGCATGCATGCATGCATGCATGCATGCATGCATGCATGCATGTGTGTATGTGTGTATGAGTGTATGTGTGTATGTGTGTGTGTGTGTGTATGTATGTATGTATGTATGTATATGTATAGATATAGATTATCGCGTTGGAAAATATAACGTAATGTCCTAATATTGGAAACGTAGACTCGCAATTATTTTTGTGCCGGAAGTTTCGCTATCAGTCTTTATAAGGATCCGTGCGCTGTTTATCACACTGTGTGCACGACAATATTGCATTTCCTTTGTAGAAAAGTTCGAATGGCCAATGATTGCAGATTTTTTAGTGACTCCTTACACACTAGCGTAAGCGGCAGCAAAACGGATGAATGAAATCAGATGAATGGATAAGCAGATGGATGGAAGGATGGGTGGGTGGATGGATGAATGACTGAATACATGGATGCTGTATCAAGTCCGACGGTAAAGAAGCGTCTCTGTTAACAGACGAAACTGTCCTACTTTCGGCTTACCTCTTTCTCGCCGTACATCGTGATCCACCGTAGTCGCTTGTCGCGAGCTTCACTGCAGCCAGAAGACCGAGCGTGTACGTCGATGCGCCGGATATAGGTAGCGCGGCGCTAATAACGAGGGTGGTGCTTGCTTCTGCAGCCTCTTATCACCTTGACAATTCGCGATAGCGAAAGAAAGAGAGAGAGAGAGAGAGAGAGAGGAGACAAACGCTTATCGCGCACCGTCACTTGACGAAATAAATTCTTCACGGAGAAGTCTTTTATTGCTACGTTGTCCGAATTATTGATTCGAGCATAAAAAGTCCGTTGCCGTCACCACTACCGCTGCCGTCGTCGTCGTTATCGTCGTCGCGACGGCTGCACAGATTCTCGCACAATTATTCACAGTTCCCTCTAATGATCGAATCACAAAGTTCACCGACGTATTTATGCACAGTGACTGCAACTCAACCGGCCCACATTGTCACTGCTGCAGCACTCCGTCGCTTCGCGCACAGCCATCGTACGCGTATTACATATGATCTCGTTCGTCTTACGCTCTCTGACGTGCGCTGCGCCGAGCTGTTCTGCGCCCTCCTCAAGCACACCGCCGCGACGTGTCGCGACTCTCGTCTGCCCAACCACCCACTACGGCGTTTGCCCGGGGTAACCACCACACGCCGCTCTCATGCACCGAGCATCCATAATGATTCCAGTTCATGGACACATCGGCGCCGCTGACCTGGAAAGCCTGGAAAAAGAGAGAGTGTCAGAGTTATGACTGACGGTTTTAATCGATTTATCGGTATACATTCGGGCTCGTCGATATGCGCAAATACCTGTAATCGATTTATGTCTTTTATCTCGAGCATATAGAATGCCTGTTTTACTAAATAATCAATATGTTCACAATTAATATTATGAATGTAATTATTATTGTAATAATAGACGCAATGAGTATCTGCAACATTAATATTGCTGAAAAGGGGACAGAGCTTTCACGCAGTTGCGCGCCCACCAGCACGTTTATATGCATCTCTTGTATATAAAGCGTACTCGCTTTCGACTCGTGGTTTCTTCCCTCGTCCCGTCGACCCTAATCAGTACGTAGACACTTCTCTATCGTTGACGTCGACGTCGGGACGCTTGCGCGTGCAATATTCCATGCACTAAGAGCAACGTCATCAGTTCATCCCTCTGTACTTCATGCACTTATTCGTTGCACCTGTTCCATGGAGGTAGAGTTAAAGAGTGCAATACCTTCTGCTCTCACTGCTTGGATATCGATACTTAGATGTGATATCGATATCTGAAATTTGTCATTCAAGGAATTTTGATGCAATTGAAGAATGGCGTTGGGACGTACGATATGAAGTCGCCTGGAACCATATATTGAGAGAGAAAAAGAGAGAGAGAGGGAAGAATGGCGTTGAGGTATTATTTCGTAGGGAAGCTTGGAGCTAGATATTGAGTATTGAATATTGAGGTTTGGCGCAAATTTCGCGCGCGCGTGATCTAAACCACTGCTATGTAAGGATGTATTCGAATTTGTTCAGATGTAACATATGATTTTTAGGGTATATTTTGAATTATTTCCAAAAGCTTTAAATTTTATTATTTCAACATTGCCTTATTATATTGCTTAAAAAGAAAGAAATTTTTATACAAATATCTGTTATAGAAACCACATTGGCTGCATTCAGTAGACTCAACAGTTGCACAACAGTTGAGTAATTTGTCAATGTAATTGGTCTAGATTTAGGGATCTAATAGCAAGAACCAATAATCGTTGATTGCTCACTGAGCGCTTTTTCTACTGAATGCGCCCATTGATATTTATCCATAATTTACTAATTAAATAAATATAATCTATAATAATAATAATAAATAAATATATATTTGTATTTAATTGATATTTAATCAGCAAATTAAATAAATATTAATGCAATAGTTTTCTACGACAAATATTCACGTCAAAATTTTATATATATATATATATATATATTCCATACAGCAGAAATGTCCCGAATATATCATAGGAACATCCTACAGATATTAAGATATCTTTATAATATCCTTGTGGTGTATTCGGGACATTTTTGCTATGTGGCGTATGTATATATATACTTTCTTTTTATATATTTATATATATATATATATATATATGTATATTTATTTATTTATTATATATATTTAAATTTATTTTTACGCAAAGGAAATTTGGCTTTTTATACTACCCGAATATTAATAGTATTAATATTATTGATAGTATTAATAATATTAATAGTATTAATATTAATAGTATTAATATTAATAGTATTAATATAATAGTATTAATAGTATTGAGATTTTACCTGATATTAATTTTAAAGTTTATATTAATAGTTACACACTTTTAATTTTGTCAATTGATATTAATTCATGATTATCTATAACGGTTTGTAAACCAAGAATGGATTGTTCACTGCACCGGCCACATTTCGAGGTCGTGAAGACATTCAACCCTAATAAAAGAATGCAGCTAAAAAAAAAAATATATATATATATATATATATATATATATCGACAATAGCGATAATATATATCAGAGTTGTAATATATCTAGATACATGTATCTTTTTGCAATATCTAGATACTTTTTGTGTATTTATATCTGTGTCTAGTTATATTTTTTATTTCAAAATCTGTATTTATGTATCTAGTTCCATTTTATCTCGTATCTATGTCTAAATTTATCATTTTAGGGTGCGTTCAGATTCCTCATCCGGATGCACTCTATTACTAGAAACACTATAGTATGTGACATATACTATAGCACTTCTAGTAATAGAATACACCCGAGTGGGGAATCTGAATGCAGCCTTAGATACAGATACGAAAAAAATGCAATTTTGGTGATTTTATATATAATTGTTACTTTTTCACAAGAAACAAAGTTGTTTCCATAGTGTAAGAATCTAACGTGATGCATATAAGATCTCAATTGAAATATTTGTATCTGATGGGAATAATTTATTGAAAATATAATGAACTTTTGCTGAAATACTTTTGAAAAGCATTCATAATTTTGACCCAATTTCATTAAAATTTCATTATAATTTCATTAATATTTCAATAATATTTCATTAAAAATTTCATTAAAATATTTCATAGAAAAATTCAGTGAAAAATCATTATTAATTAAAATAAATTGAGAAAAGTATAATGAAGTATTATTTTGTCTAAATAATAAAAAAAACTGACATTTCATATTTTGTGTCGTTTCATTTATTTGTGAGATTCGCGTGGGATTCGATCAGACGGTCACCTATCTTTAGATGACTATGCACTGTTCAATGCCTAACCTCAACGATCGTACTGGAACTAGTAATGCCAATGCGCTATATCGATATCGTGGTAGATTACATTTACAATACCCATACAGCACAAATCTTCAAAGAACGTTCTAAGGAGGTTCTAAGGACATTCATACATTCTAAGAATATCCTAGAACATTCTCTGAAGATTTTGTGCTGTCTGGGTATACTCTTACAGCGTTAAAAAATGTAATGATATATTTGCCGGTAAATGTTTCAAAGGACGTAACAACAATTATAATGCGATTAATATTGATACAATGTTGTATAACTAATTAAATTTAAACATACAACGTGCTCGCAAAAGAGAGAGAAAGAAGGAATATTCTCTCTCTTTTCCAAGCATGTTGTACGTTAAAGTTTGATTAGTTATACTACATTATATCAAGATTAATCACATTGTGATTGTTGTTACGTCCTTTGAAACATTTACCGATAAATATGTCATTATATTTTTAAACGCTAAAAGTATATTGTAAATACAATCCACCACGATATCGTTACAGCGCATTGCCATCACCAGTTCCCATACGATCGTTGAGGTTAGGCATTTGAACAGCAGGTCGTCTAAAGATGGGTAACCGTGTGACACTGGATCGAATTCACGTGAATCTTACGAATAAATAAAACGACACAAAATATAAAATGACTTTTTTTTATTATTTAGACAAAATAATACTTCATTATATTTTTCTCAATCTATTTTAATTAATAATGATTTTTCACTCAATTTTTCTACATTTTTACTGAAATATTACTGAAATATTAATGAAATTATAATGAAATTTTAATGAAATTTGGTCAAAATTGTGAGTGCTTTTCAAATGCATTTCAGCAAAAGTTCATTATATTTTCAATA